CTTGCTTCTGGTTGCATTTGCTGTTGCTGGAACGGCTGTTGCGTCCCCTCAAACAGTCCGAACTGCACTTTTCGCTGCCGGAAGTTGCGCCTCTACTTCAATTTCTTTTTGCTCTCTGAGTCTGTGCGAGCGTCAAATCGGGTTTTTTTTAAAAAAAAACTTTTGCAAGCAAACACCATTCTTTCCAATGCTTGGATTAGAAGATGATTGTGGCTACATCTTAATAAAAGGTATCAAGACCAATGAATTGCTTTTTTGGTTGCGTGTCTCTTTGCGCAGGTTGCATCCGCTGTCACAAACCTCGGCCTTCGGAGGTCTTGCGCCTCAGCACGGACGGACAACATCGCAACAGGCGCTTCAAGGGACTTTGTTGCTCAGCAAATTCCACCACATCTCCGCGCAACACAGACCCGTGCCACCCCTCCGCAACACAGGTCCGTGTATTTTCTGATTTCGGACAGGATTCTGCGCCTGATTGGAAAAAGTGTCATTTCCCCGATCTTTGGTATTTTTCGGTCTGCCTCAAATGCTTTTGAATCAGGTTAGTGACCGCACTCGTTTTGTCTCGTTTCGTTTTGCTTCGAATGTTTTCAGCTCAAGTGAAAGATGCACACTCTGTTTTTCTTGGAAGCGGACTTCGGCCTCGCCTGTGCAAGGTAGAAGTTAAGAGTTCTTCTGGAAGGCACCTGTGCCAAGAAAGCATCAAAGTTACCTGTTTGGACCAGATCCTATTTGTCCGAAAAGTCCGCCTGCAGCTCAAAGGTGGAAGTGTTCTAGCTGCTGTGTCTGGAACACCTGTTCGGCCACCAGTGCCGCCGATGTCCACTTTGGGTGCGGACCAACTGCAGCACACGCGGCTCCAATTGTGGGGTCGAACAAGCTAAGCAATTTGGCTTCGCTTGAGTGGCCCCCCTCTGTACCCCGAAGGAGGAGCTGAACCGGAAAGCCATCCATGCCACTGTAAGCTGCTACAGCTGTAGCCTTACAGAGCGAGGGGACGCGATTCACAGACCATCGTTCGTAAAACTCCTGGGCAGTCTCCTTGTCCTCGGGTTTGATATTCCAAGCTTGGCAAGCCCATTGGCGCTGTACAGCTCCTCCCATCGCACGTGGGTGTGATGGAGGACAGAGTGGAGCTCCAATGCCGCAGGAATGTCCCACCAAGAGTGGGGGACGCGATGATCAATGGGCTCGTGGGCCGCGTGCTGCCAGCCGTGAGCCGCTGATGAGCATGCTCTCCAGTCATGGTAAAGCGCCCAGCCCTGTCGATAATTCAGATGTCGAGCACCTGTGGTGCCAGCGCAGACTGTAGTGGTGAAAAGGTCAACAAATGCACCCAGTTCGTTGTGATGGTCATAGAAGAAGGAGAAGAGGGATGCAGCCTGCGCCTCCGTGGTGAGGTGTCCTGGCAGGGGGAGCTCTGGCAACCAATCCGAGATAAACTCCGCAAGGGATGTGCCTTCGGCCAGTCACTCGGTGCGCGTCACCCGTGTCCGCGTTGGCGGGGCGAGCATTGCTGAGGCAAGACCATGCTCGTCAAAAAAACCCGGGTGGTGGGTGTGACTACCGTGACTTTCCGTTCAGCCTGCACTGCGAAACGATGCCCGCAGACGTTGTAGGCGAGTACCAGTGGGACACAGAGCAATTCCACCAAGCCATCTGGGTGCATGGCTGAGGATGTATGCCGTGGTTATCGGACGAAGTACACTCCTGGCTGGTGAGTGCCGTCCGCCGCTACCCGTTGAAGCCGCCTCGCCGCGGTGTCCGCAGCTAGCTCACCAATGGTGATCGGGCACGGAGAGGCGTCGGAAACCCTGTGCATACTGATGGATTGAGGGTATCGGACGGCCGTGATAAGTAGATAAAGGTCAGCCAGCAGCCTGGTGGAGGCAACCAGGGCTAGATTCAGGCAAACCCCATTGATGGGAGCCAAGCCTTCAGCTTGCATAGCTGTATTGGCCGGCGCCAGTATTGCACCGACAGCTGACAGACGGTTGAGATAGCACAGCATCGCCTCGCTATGGGACTCCGACTGGTGGAGGAAGTCCACCGCGAGCCGGTCGGGGTGAGGGCACACTCGGTCACCTATGCTGGTGATGCCTGAATAAGGAATGAAGTATTTCATCCCTTGTCGGGTGACCCGACATCCTCGAAGCTCCAGATCCTCATCGAGGCTGACCTCAACCTCTTCCTCAATGCCGAAGAGGCACTCGGACAACTCTCGACACACTGTTGTGGTGGCGCCCGACGGCGGCTCAGCGCCCTGATGGCCGTCGTGACGGTGTCCTAAGCAAGTCCACCTGATAGTGTGAAGCGGCCTGGTGTCATGGTGCGTGGGCCGATGAAGTTCGGTACCCACACCGCTGACCACATGGCGCGTGTAGAACAATTGGACAGCCATGGCGCATACTACCACCGATGAACAGGTTGCCCCAACCCCTGGCCGGCGACGTATGTCACCGCCTGAGCCGCGATTAAGAATCATCAGCATGCAAACGGCTCAGGGCAGAACTCGATGCCCCCCCCCCTCCCCACAGGACATTTTGAGCACTCCAATCCTCCCTCAGCATGTGGCATGTAGAGCATGGAGCACTGGACCGCCACTGCATGTTGACAAAAAAGGGCGCGGATACCGGTCCGGCTTATTGGGCCAGGGCCCAACACCCACCGCCGGGCAATCAACCCAAGTAAAAGGTTTGATAGGTGCGCCGCACAGCCGGCACACTTTTTTTGGCGTGAATGGGCCTTGTTGACTACGGCTGTAGCACTCGGTCCCTTACACCTGGAATCCGAGTGGAACGATCATTTGAAAGCTTATTGCAACCAGACTTGCCTGAAAGTGCGCTGCGCCAGGAAGGCAGAAACACGATTTTGAGACCCTACAGACAAACAGACAACAAACTAAGCTAAACACTACAAAGCGGTGAGACCAAAAGCGAAGCTCTACAAGGGCTGCGGCGCACAGACTTTGCCGGTGGTGGCCGTTCAGCACAACAAAGCAACAGGTGGAGCCAAGTCCAAGCTCCGGCAGCCGTTCTAGTCTTGCCAGACAACGGGCAGCCCCTGCGCTTTGTTCCATCACGATCCAGCACACCAAAGTCCAAAAGTCCAATGTTCGCCAACGGCTTCCAGATCTATCGGTGCCCGAGTCGTTGCGACTTAAAGCCGGCCAGAAATCGAACACAAACGATCCACGGTGTGCAAAACCAGTGGCGGATTGGCTGCCGGCGTTCAATTCCACCAAACATCGCACAGCCGGCACACTCCCTGCTGGCGGGAAGCTGCTTCTTACGGCGGCTCCGGGTGTCCTCGCGTGTTCCCGAGAGGACCCCAGGCGCTTTGTCCACTGCTGCAGCACCTGCGCATCCCCGCAAAGCTTCCGGATCACGCAGTCCGCTCCAACCGGCAGTCGCAGTGCGGACAACTTGCATGGAGACCTTGGGAAGATGCTCTTGGCCAACAGCTGCGCTCGCACCCTGCAATCTTCGGAGTAGAAGTGTCCTGATTTGATCTCTTCCCCACAACTGCCACTTGCACTTCGGCACGGGATTCGCGTCTGAGCTGGCGGAAGCGCTGCCACTGCTCGGACTTGTCGCAGTCCACTGGAATTGAATAGAGGCATTTGTCTTAATGTCTTGGCAAGGTTTCTCCTGTGGTCTGGATGTTATCACCCTCCACTGGTGTAGAGGCATTTGTCTCAACGTCTCAGCAAGGTTTCTGTTGTGGTCTGGATGTTATCACCCTCCACTGGTTTGGAGGCAGTTGTCTCAATGTCTCAATATCTCAGCAAGGTTTCTTCTGGAGACCCAGAATCTTCCCTCCGCCCATTTGTCTTAATGTCTTAAGGTTTTCTTCCAAGACCCAGAAGCTTAACGCCCCGCCCTCTACACCCGCTGAGGCTCCTCTTCCTTGAGCATGAGGTCCGTTAATAGCCCGCATTGGCCGCTTATCATCCAGACATGCCGGAGCTCGGCGCGCACCACTCCCGGTTGGTCAGGTCCCGGGTTTATGCAGCAACTGCCCTGGGCGTCCCACAGGCGCACCTAGTCCAGGCACACTTCAAGTTTAATAAAGCTGTTGCCTTGAGCCGAAGTCTTTAGGGGCAGGAGACGAAGCGGCTCTCTGTGTCTTGTGTAGTGAGCATGTGGCCGAAAAGCTTCGAGTCCGCCATGGAGCGGCTGGCAGCGGGGCCTTCTAACCCCACCACGCAGCTCCTTCGCCGCCTCATTGGGCTCCAGACACAGGCAGCCTCCTAGCGTGCTCGCCGTTGTGGGCCGTGGGGTGCCACAAGCTAGGCTAGCGGTCAACGGGTTGATAGCGCTTTAATTTAGGATGTTGTTTTGTAAAACTGGGTTAGTTTTACTTCTTCCGATTAAGTGCTATCTCCAGCTTGCCTGGCGAACACCTTATTTCGCCACATCATTTCACGCGCGCACGTACATTTCTCATGTCGGGCGCGCAGACAGATTTTCTCACATTGTCCTGGCATTGTTGTCTCACGGTTTTCACACATGTTTTATTTCCTGTTGGTTGCAAAATTTTGTGAACTGCTCGGACGTGCAGCAACTACTCTCTCAAGGAGGGAGTGCCGGCAAAATTTTGCCTGTAGCGGGTGCCAGCTGCGACGTTCTTAGTACCCACGGGGAACAGTTCTCGCTCTGGCTGGTGTGCTCCTAGGCCTGTTGCATGCAAGGCCAAACGATTTGGGGAGTCGACCTTGACTCCTCTGATCGCTCCGCTAGCCAGTCACCCTCTACTGTCTCTTTAGTTAGCCGGCACGTGCATCAGCTGGACTTGCAGTTGCGGACGCTTAGTGCTCACGTCGGTGCTTGCGAGCGTCGAACCCGTCAATTAGAAGCTGATCTGGCTGACCTTCGTCAGGCTGCTCCTCCGGGCTGTTCCACGTGGTGGGACATCTTTGCGTGCTGTTTTTCGCGACAGCAGCAGTTGCTTTGAGGGGCTTTCACCCAGCTTTCATGTTTTCGGATTTGCTTGATAACATGCGACGCGCTTCTGCCGATCCTTGGTCGCGCCCAACAGGCTTTGAGCGCCCTGAATTGGCGGACGATCCAATTGAAGATTTCACTGATAGTGCTGCGGATACATATGCGGTCTCAGCTGAGCGTGCAAGCCGCCGTGCTAGGCTTGCCTCCAGGAGTCGCTCGGATTCTCGCCGCAGGCCCAGGGTTTCGCAGAGGCTTCATACTGTCCCTGCTCAGCTTGGGCATCTTACTGTGCGGCCCCGCGTGAGCTTCTTACCTGCAGTGCCTCTCACCCAACCTCACCTTTTGCCAGGGGAACATGTTCAGTACTTGCAGAATCTTTTGCAACGGCAACAGAGTCAGCTTAGCGATTTTGCATTGGAAGTTGCTGCGTTGCGCCGCGTTGCAGCGGAGCAACAGATGCTGGCAAGCCACAGGATTGACGAGGTCGAGCGGCGCTTGCGTCGTGTTGACGCACTCCTGCAGCACATCATGCAATATCTGCAGGTGCCACCGTTGCGCCCTGCCCGCTGCGACTAAGGTGCCCCTTTTTGGTTCCCTAATTCCTGCCCCAACCCTGTGCCACAGCCGATGCCCAGCTTTCCGGCGGACCCCTAACTTGTGCCCTGAGCTGCTGCGGCCTCGCTCCGAGTTTTGTCTTGCATCTTCGAGGCGGGCTGGAGCCGTGCAGCAATCAGTGATCTGCTTGGCGTAGGTCACTGTGATTTTCCGAGTTTGGGCTCTTCACGTGTGATGCTGCTGGCATGCTACAAACTGTCACCTGTTTTGCTAGGGGAATCTGCAGGCTCACTCCTCATGCTTGACTGCTTGCATTAAGTTTTCAGGATCAAGCTGCATTAAGAGTCTTTCAACTCGGTGTGATGGCTGGGGGTGGTGACTTTGATCAAGGTGCCAGGGACAGGCTTCGCCGCATGTCTGTCGAGGCCCTGACGACGGCGCCGAGTATCGCTGCCCTTACTTTGCCTTGGGAGACAGGACCGCTGGCGGCCATTTTTGGGAAACCGGAAGTGCTGCCTAGGCCCGCGTTAGACATCGAAGATGTCATTGACACTGCATCTGTCCGGCCTTTGGGGCCTGAACCGTCGGAAACTGTCCCAGGTGATAAGAAAGCTTTCACTGCAGCATGGAACAAGGATACATTCAGACGTGATCGCCTCCCTGAGCGAGATCGGTTCAATCTCGTGTACCAGGAGTGGCTTCAAGTGATCCTTCCATGGGCTGGCGATAGAACTGTGCTCGGCCTCATGGTGTCTGCTGCAGCCGACCAAACTGAGAAGCTTGCAGTTGTCACGCAAACCCTTGCCGGCAAGGCCTTGTCGACACTGGAGAAGCGGCTGAGGCAAGTGAAAGCATTCCTGGCATGGGCCCTACTTGCGAGTGTTACGCCATTTCCTATGACTGAGCATGCATGCCGAATGTATTTGAAGAAGCTGGTGGAAGAGAAGGCACCTGCCTCTCGCATCAAAGGCGTGCTGGAGATGGTGGGGTTCCTCAGACATGTTGTTGGCCTACCCGTTGCTGAGAATGCAGGCGATTCACCTTGGATTCGCGGGGTGCTACGGATGGCCGCGGCGAATGCCAAGCCCACTGCCAAGGCTCGGCCGCTCACGGTCGGAGAGGTTGCAACACTCGAGGCTTTCGTCAAACGCAGAGTGGGAGCATTGCAAGACCTCTACGCGGCAGGGTGCTTCTTGTTCTTGATCTTTTCGAGGGCGAGGTTCGGCGATTGCAAAATCATCAGTGATGCAGTCTTTGACATCGTCACGAAGAGTGGCGAGCTTGTCGGGTACATCGAGGTCATCTCTTGGTCGCACAAGATGCGGCGCCATTTTCCTTCAATCCCTTTGGTTGCCCCGGTTCAGGGTGCCACCATAGGAAGTTGGGTCGAGTCGTGGCGGTCCATCGCCACTGATGTGGGTCTCCCTCTTGAACGGTTTCAAGGAGGTGCCAAAGGACCATTGTTGCCACTCCCGAGCCAAGGCGGGTGGCTCGAGTCGAGTTGCTCGACGACTGAAGCGAGGGCTTGGCTGGTTCAGATTCTTCAGAATGCTGGGCATGTCGAGGCTCCGTCGCTAGGCGCTCACTCGTGTAAGGCAACTTGCTTATCATGGAAGATACGAGGACTCGCTTGGGCAATCACAATGATCGTGGATCTGCAGAGTGTTACGGGAGAGACACACTTGCCGCACCGTTGAGAGATCTGGAGGCGTGCATTTTGGCGATTCGCACCGGATCCTTCTTGCCAGACGTTTCTCGAAGTGGTTATTTCCCTGATATGCCTGACAAGTCACCGTCTTGTGAAGGATCAACCGAGCCGCAGGGTGGCATTGGCTCCAGTGATGTTGAAGCGAACAAGAGCTTTGACCTGGCTGAGCTCTCTTTCGGGGCACCGGCCGACCAAAGCGACTTAGACAATGATGCCAATGCCTCTGAGGGCTTCGAGCCTGATGCCATTGAGCACCCGGCCCCGAGCCCGAGCTTCCATGGAAGCAATCCTGCTCAGGATGTCGCACTCGACGAGTCGTCATCCAGTTCGACGAGCTCTTCATCGACGGACACGGAGGTGGAGTCGGAACCTGGCCCACACCTTGCCGCTCTTGAACGGCCAGTTTGGCGAGACGCTTGCCAGGTTTGGCAGCACAGGCAAAGCAGAACCGTGCATCTGCTCCCAGAGGCCGATGCAGAGTCAGGGTCCTTCGTGTGCGGGAGGGTCAAGTCGCAAGCCTACTTCCGAGCCACTGGGCATCCGATTGTCGATTCTCTGAAGTGTGTGCAGTGCGATCGTGGTAAAACCATCAGAAGCACGGCACAACTTGTGCATGTTCTTGACAAGAGGCGGCGCACTGGTTAGAGTGTGCCGGCGAGTGACTCGTGTGGACCCGTGTGAGAACCGCTCGGCGTGTGCTCCATGAGGACCCAGATGTCACCGCTCTTGCAAACATTTTCGGTGCAGCTGTGCGCTCCCTGTGGTGAGAGCCAGCAGCATCTCAACCTCGGCAATGCCGGGGGTTGCTACATTCGCTCGAGCAGTGGTTACAGGAGCTGGAACATGCTTGGGTTAGAGTGTGATGTCTTACATTTTCGGTGACGCTGTGCGCTCCCTGTGGTGAGAGCCAGCAGCACCCAGCCTCGAGCACGCCGGGGTCCGCATTCGCTCGAGAAGTGGTTACAGGAAAACTGGAGCACTCCTGCGGGCTTATGTGTTGTCGTGCATGGCTCAGCTATCTAAACGCTCGGCTTGCTCATCTCAAGTGTAGCTCAGTGCATGAGCCAGACGTAGACGCCTAAGATCCAGCATGTCCGGTGCCTCACTCTTGGATTCGAAAGCTGCCTTCAAAAACAAGGTGTTGGAGTATGGCTTGACCAATACTGTCTTCGAGGCCATTGTAAGACGTGGAGTCGACACTCTTAGCAAGGCTGCATATGCTGTGGGGGCCCCGGGTGTTGTACCCGCCGAAGATGCCCTGCGAGCCTTTCTGAATCCAGAGTCGCCTGCCACTGTTGAGCAGGGTCAGGTTGCAATTGCTAGGCGCCTAATCTTCGAAGCACAGACACTTGCAGTAAGCCAGCTGCGTCAGCAGATCGAGGGGCCGGACGAGAAGCGACAAGACCTTCAGCCCGCCGAAAGGAGGTTCCGTCTAGAAGAGCAAGCACGCCGCCTGGCCGGTATGTCGCTCCGCGGTCCGTTGGAATGCTCTTTCAGCTGCTACACACTTGTCATTCGCATGCTGGCCACTGATGAAATTACTTACCTCGCCCCTAATCGGTTCACCACTCGGGCTCATGAGGTTCAGCAATCCAAACCTCCCAAAGAAGTCATCATTGATGCATCGTCTGCCATCAAGGTGCGTGATTCTGCTGAGCTTGCCGACACGTGTCATCTCCCTGATGCACTCAGCTTAAGTCAGGCTTTGACTCGAAGGTCTCTCGCGCTTGACTTGTGTGAAGCCGCAACGTTTGCAGCCTCCGAACGGTGGCACGCCGAGCTTCTGAGACATTTGCAGCAGGCACCTCCCATGGAGTACAAGCAGGTGGATACCATGCAAATTTTAAGGGCTGACAGGGCGGCATGGACGTACATGGCCGAAAAAGGCACTTCCTTGAAAAAGCGTGCAGATGGGAGCTTGCCCATGGATGATCTCTTTGCAGCCCTCACCACGGCTACCGATGTCATGATGTTCCTCATGCCGCTGCCCGCGGGTGGCCAGAGCAAGCGCCCTTCTGCGTCACAGGTCATGGCGACGCCCAATGGTAGCACCGACCCACCCAACCCGACCAAGAAGAGCCGCACCAAGGCGCGCCGTGAACGCCAAAAGCAGCGTCTGCAGGAAGCCCTGGCACTCGCGTCTGCACCCCCATCTCATGCCTTCCCGCCCAAGCCTCCTGCTCCGCATGTGCACAATGCTCTGCCGCCTACGCCGCCCCAGCCCATTCCGAAAGGCAAGGGCAAGGGCAAGCACAAGCATCCCACCAAAGCCTGAGAGCCAGGCCTGCCGCAGGCACGCGTTGTCGACTCAGCCGAGTCCTTCTTCCAGGCCCTGCAAGAGCGTGTTCGCGGCAGGCCCCTTCAGTCTTTGCTTTTTGTGGAAGTTTTCGCGGGTTCAGCTCGCCTGTCAGGTGCTGTCCATGCGTGTGGCGTGGGCAGTGTCTTCGGCATCGATGCGTGGACACCCAAGTCAGCTCCAGCGCCCGTGGTCAAATTGGACCTCGCGCTTGATGAGGATGTCAGAGTGCTCTTTTTGCTGCTTTCCAATCGGGCCTTGGCTGCGGTGCATTTGGCGCCGCCTGCAGCCCTCCCAGGTCGTGGCAGTCCGCCACTTCGCTCACACGCGTTTCCGGACGGCCTGCCCGACCTTTCCCCACCCAATCAAGCCAAAGTTGCGCTGTACAATCGTCTCTTTGCATTGGCATCGACCCTTTTCCTTCAGGCTTTCCAGACAGGCATTGTTGCCACTCTGGAAAACCCAGCCTCCAGCCATTTCTGGCAAAGCAGTGCTTGGCTGGATGCATCTTCGTCGATTGTCACACTGCGATTTTCGTCTTTTCACACTTGCATGTTCGGGGCTACTTTCAAACGTCAGCTTTGCATTGCACACTTCCATGATGCCTTTCAGGCCTTGCAACTCCCATGTGATCATACTTCGTTGCACCCGGCGCATTCTGCGCCGAGGGAGTCGGTCACAACATACCCTGCTCCCTTCTGTAGAGCGTATGCGCAGGCTTTGCAGCATGCTCTTGGCGCGGCTGGCTCTCTGCCACCTGCGCAAGCCTTGCCGGGTCTTTCTGATATTCATCTACAAGCTAGGGTGGCTTCTGGCACGCAACCGCGCGGCAAACGGGTACCTCCTCTTCTGCCAGAACACAAAGCCATTTGCGTCTTGCAGGGTCCAGCGCAGTTGCTTCCTTCCGGGCCCGTGTTACAGCAGCCTTGGTTGCCTTGCGCAGGCGTTCAGTGCCAGCCGCATTATCCTCCCTTGCCTGCTAAATCACGTGTTCTCTGCGCCCTCCCTTGCGCGGGGATTGAGGAGGGCGGTTCTTCTCTCGATTCCAGTGGCACCCCGTCCTCTCTGGCCGTGGATGCTTTGTGCAAGGGTGACTTGTCTTCTGAAATGTGTGTTCAGGTGCTTCAGCAAGCATTCAACACCCCCTTGGAAGCTAGGCGTGCGGGCATTCTTCAGGACGGCCGACCTGTGGAATACTTTGTTTTGGGCGCCTACAAGTGCTTGCCGAGAAAGGGTGTTACCAAACTCACAGGTGAGCACCTTAGCACAGCTGCCTTCATAAATGCCTTTATGCTGCAACGTTTCCCGGATGCATCGTGGTCTGCCTTCGTCGTCACTCACAACGAGTCCTCGGCACTGCACGTGGACTCGGCAAATGTGCCGGGAACCATGAACTTTGCGATCGGCCTGGGAGGTTACTCCGGAGGCGAACTCTTTGTGGAATCAGAAGGCGGGGCCCATGCCTTTGAGGACCCGTGCACAGGCGAATGGCTGTGGGGAGACTGTCTAGCTCTCAACTTGGGACCGTGCCGGTTCGATGGTCGTGCAAGGCATGCTACCCTGCCGTGGGTCGGCGACAGGTGGTCGATCATTGCTTATTCGGCGGTTGTGCAAAATGATCTCTCCCCAACGCAGGAGCAAACGCTGTGGTCCTGCGGGTTTCCGTTGCCTTGGACCTCTGCCTTTTCGAAAGTGCCGTCTGCTCCTAGCAATGTCCCTCAGGTTCGCATGACCATTGGCATACCCTGGGACCCATGCGACTTCGCCAAGGAGGCAGCGAAGAGGGCATCCACGCCACCTCTTTGATGGAATTCCGCCTGTCCTCAAAAAGAACTTGAAACCGCGTATAGCGCCGAGGCACAGTTCGGGCTCCACAGGCGGTGCTGGGGGTGCCGGGGGTGCCGCAGGCAGCTTGGGAGGCTCGGAGAGGGGGCCTCGTCTTTCTCTTTGCGGTTTAGGGTTTTTCTCTTTAAGATTTCGGGGTTTAGGGGTTTAGGGGTTTAAGGGTTTAGGGATCAGCGGCTTAAAGTTTCGGGGTTTAGGGTTTTGGGATTCGGGGTTTAGGGGTTTAGGGTTCTTCAGGGTATGTGTTTAAGGTTTGGAGTAGTAGGGGCTCAGGGTTTAGGGCTTCTGCAATTTAGGGTTTCAAGGTTCAGGTCTTCATTTGGTATTCTTTGGGGCTTCTGTTTTGGGGTGTAGGGGGTTGAGGAGTTTGGGGTGTACTTGGTTTGGGGTAGAAGGGGGTGAGGACTTCAGGTTTCCGTTCATTGGATACTTGGGAGTTTAGGGCTTCCGGGGTTTCGTTTTAGGGGTGTTGGGGGGTTGAAGGTTTCGGTTTTCATTGTAAAACTGCGATCGATGCAACTGTCGAGCAGTCAGAAGTGGGCCTAGCGCAACACCGCACCGAGGTCCTTAGGCGATGGGTGCTTCGAGCGCAGGAGCTGGCTCCGCAGGAAAGGGCTCTCCATGATAGAATGCCGAAACACCTTAAGGCCGTCCTCAAGGGTAAGCGGCTTTTGGTCTTCGGCGAGATGCTCGTCGCATGTGGCTATGGCGACTCTTCAATTGCGTCCGAAATTGGGGAGGGCTTCGACTTGACAGGTCCGATTCCTGCGTCGGGTGGGCTCTTCAAACCCGTTGTGGAGCCGGCGTCGATGACCAAGGAGTGTTTGCGCGCCGCTGCCAGCGCAGTCCGTGCAGGCATTCTTCGCGCCACCGAACGTGTGTGCTCATCCGAGCTCGCGCAGGAGGTTCACGACATTACCAAGGAAGAGGTAGACCGCGGGTGGCTCGAAGGGCCCGTGCCACTTGAGCAACTGAGCGAGACTTGTTCCTTGAGCAGACGGTTCGGAGTTGAGCAGCGGTCCGGTGGGAAGCGCAAAGTCAGGCCCATCGACAACCTGTCGGAATCCTTTATCAACTCGACCGTTTCCCGCACCGAGTCGATTCAACCTCACGGCTTGGATGTGGTTTGTGCGGGCATCGCTTACAGACTTAGGGTCCGTGAGAGGTTCGGCCGTGCCAGCGTGCCAAAACTTAAAATCATAGACCTGCATAAAGCGTATAAGCAACTCGGCATTTCCCTTGACGCCATACAGGATTCTTTCTTGTGTGTGCCGAACCCGGAGACGGGCAAACCATCCATCTACGCCTGCCATGTACTGCCCTTCGGATCATCTGCTTCAGTCGCGGCATTTTGCCGCAGCACGATGGGATTGTGGCACTTAGGGTGCGCTCTGTTGTTGATCCACTGGACGGTGTTTTACGACGACTTTATCGTCCTCAACGAGGCGTCGTCCACGAAACACCTTGACATGGTTCTCAATTGCTTTTGGGACTTGCTTGGATGGACCGTGGCACGGGACAAAGAATCCGATTTTGATTACTTTGCGAGAGCTCTTGGAGTCAAAATTTGCTTTCAGTCCGAGAGAGTCTTCGTGGTGGAGAACACCCCCGAGCGAAAGGCCGAACTTGACGAGACCATCACGCGCTTACTCGGTCTCGAGTGGGTGGAGCAACATGAGCTCACATCGCTGAGGGGGAGGTTGCAGTTCGTTGAGGGTCAGATCCATGGGCGCCGAAGCGGCAGGTTCATGCAGCTTTTGTCGCGGCGCGCAGATTTCATTGGGGGGTCCGCCATGGATTCCGACTTGCAGGCAGCCCTCACTTTCCTTAAGGATAGGGTTGTAGGTGCTCCCCCTAGGGTAATATCCGCGAGACGTGAGAACGCTTGGTTCATCTTCACTGATGCGGCCTACGGTGATGGCCAAACGAACAGTTGTGGGTTAGGAGGGGTACTGGTTGCACCTGATGGGAAGCCCATTAGATTCTTCAGTTGCTTGTTTAACGACGATGCACTTGAGGGCCTCAGGTTTGGCGATGTTCAGAGCCCCATCTACTTTCTTGAAGGCTTGGCAGTAGTGGTCGCGTTGCACGTGTGGAACAGCCTTGTGCAAGGCTCTGAGGCCGTTTGCTTCGTCGATAATGAAGCAGCCAAGTCTGCGTTCATTGCTGGCAAATCTCCTTGCGTGCACTTCTCAGCCCTGTCGGAATGGTTGAGTGATTGGGAGGAACGTGCCTCCTCGTTCCCATGGTTCGAAAGGGTGAGCAGTGCTGCGAACATTGCTGATGGCCCCTCGCGTGATGATTGTAGTCACTTGGCGGGTGTTCGCCGCGACGAGATTGATTTGCAGTCCATCATTCTCGCTTTGCAGTGCTTCTTGCCAGAGCTCTCAGTCGGCGGTGGGTGATGAGGAGAGCTCTGTTTGTTGTGTGACGACGAGGTGTGCGACCCTTGTTGTTTCACGATGCAGAGCCCTTCATCGTGTACTGCCTTTGTGTTTGTGCATGCACCGCTGACGTGCTCTGAAGTCCCCGCGCTCTAGAGTAAAATGAAGCAAGGGTTGTGCGAGTGACTGCAACTTCATATTCAATATATTTCGGATTCAATTTCACATATTCACATTTTCCCCTTTTCGTGGGAATATCTGTTGGAATGATTGTTGGAGAAATAAGTGCTATCTCCAGCTTGCCTGGCGAACACCTTATTTCGCCACATCATTTCACGCGCGCACGTACATTTCTCATGTCGGGCGCGCAGACAGATTTTCTCACATTGTCCTGGCATTGTTGTCTCACGGTTTTCACACATGTTTTATTTCCTGTTGGTTGCAAAATTTTGTGAACTGCTCGGACGTGCAGCAACTACTCTCTCAAGGAGGGAGTGCCGGCAAAATTTTGCCCCGCCCACCCGCCCGGGTGATGAGGAGAGCTCTGTTTGTTGTGTGACGACGAGGTGTGCGACCCTTGTTGTTTCACGATGCAGAGCCCTTCATCGTGTACTGCCTTTGTGTTTGTGCATGCACCGCTGACGTGCTCTGAAGTCCCCGCGCTCTAGAGTAAAATGAAGCAAGGGTTGTGCGAGTGACTGCAACTTCATATTCAATATATTTCGGATTCAATTTCACATATTCACATTTTCCCCTTTTCGTGGGAATATCTGTTGGAATGATTGTTGGAGAAATAAGTTGGAAAGAAAACTTTCAAGTGTTTTTCTCTTGAGAGCAATTCTTGTGTGCATGGCTTGTGATATGCTCCCGCCGTGAGGTTGTGCTCAAGGGAGCAAGTGAAGGCAGCATGGCAACATGGGCATAAAATTTTGCGCCACATCGGCCGTGAAGGAGTTTGAACGGGTACTTCAAGACATCTCTTGAGGACGGTTCAAGCCAGACAACCCGCGGGCCGAGTACTTCGTTGCACCCCCCCAGCAGACACAGGAGGCGGTCAAGTCTGAGCCCGATGCTCGTGATGAGGCACCGGACCTGCAAGAGGTCGTAGAGATCATCTCAGATTCTAGTTCCTCTTCTGATAGCGAGAGCGGCGATAGTTCTGGAACATCTTCCGAGGATGAGCAACCTGTGCACAAGGTCCAACGGCAGGACTGGCCGTGGGGATTGAAGGATTCGCTTATGCATGCAAAGTCGAAGAAGTGCCATTACGTGAGCCTCATGTGGCAAACTCGTGGTTTCGACCGCTGGTCCCGCTCGGGGTGTGGCAGTGTGGCACGAGCTGCACTCGTGCATGTATGGGTCAGCTCGGAAGAAACGCACTGCCTTGCTTGCTACATGCCGCCTGCCCGGTCTCATGCTTCAGTGTGACAAGTCACACGAACACAAGAAATGGGGTCGTCTGCGCGACCAAAGTGGACGGGGCATGCACTATGCCACTGCCGAGGAAACCGCTTGCCCAGCAGGTCTGTGTACGGCCGCCGCCCGTGAGATCAGCTTGGCATTGCAAGACAAGGGCATCATGCTTGATGCGCGTGCGTCCTCGGACACGGCCCTGGCATCTTCCTTTGCGCAGCGGCAGCCTCGCCGCGGTCGGGGCACTGTGGGTCCACCTGAGTACAAACGGACTGTCCTTGTCCGGCTTCCGCTGGACTTTCAGCCGCCGGAACATGTGCCGGAGCAGCCCGAAGCGCCCCTTCGGGACATTCCTGCGGGCTCGAAGCTTCTGTGGACTCCCGTCTTTGTGGATGGGGGTGCTGAGGTGCGCGAGGCCCAATTCGGGGTATACCATACCCCTGATGAGTTTCTCCATGCAGCCTTGAAAGTGACCCATCCATTTGACAGTGCGGTGTCTATTGATGGCCCGAATCTTCGGGCGATTGCCTTCGCTCTTGAGCATGGGGTTAAGGCTGTGCAGCAGAAGCGTATGGAGGTCCTTGATCATTATCGTGCCTTGGAGCGTTCTCTGAGGGCTGATGAGGCTGCCCTTAAACAGGCAATGGACCCCACTGCAAGGGAGATCATGGGCTCCAAGAAGTTGCTTTTGTTTAAACAGATGCTAAAGGATGCTGGTGTTCCCGACGAGCGCCTCTTCGAAGACATGGTTCAGGGTTTCCGGTTGACTGGTCCTCTTGAGCCTTCCGGTTTGTTCCCCCTAAGTATAAGCCTGCCATCCTCTCCGTGGATGAATTGTCGCACTTCGCAGTGGTCCAAACACCTTGTGGAGGCTGCGTGTCGTAAAGCATCCCAGGACCCGGAGGTTGCTAGAGCTGTTTGGGAGGAGTCGCTGGGGCAGGTCGAGAAAGGCTGGCTGTCGGGGCCCTTCACATGGGATCAAATGGATCAGAAGTACGGTGGTACTTGGGTGGCATCCAAGCGCTTTGGGGTATCCCAGGGTGACAAGGTTCGTGCTGTCGACGATCTTTCCCAGTTTCAGGTGAATGCTTCGGTGACTGAGACTGAGAAGATTCAGCTTGAAGGCCTTGATGACATTGTGGCCCTTGCGCGATTCCACTTAGGAGCCACCGTGGCTGGCACCAAGGTCACCAAGGTGTTTAGACTTCCCTTGTCAGGCGGCGGTGTCTATCAAGGCCGATTGCATCCTGATTTTCGAGAGGGCCGGGCACGACGCTTGAATGGCAGAGCTCTTGACTTGCGAAGCGCATACAAGCAGTTAGCTCGTCACCCAGCCGACGATTGGGCTTCGGTGCTAGGCGTCCTGGACCCAGACACAAACACTGTGGCCTATTTTGAGAATTATGCTCTCCCGTTCGGTGCATCGAGCGCGGTGACAGGCTTTAACAGGGCTGCCCGAGCATTGCGCATTATCATGTCTAGACTTCTGTTCCTTGTGAATACGTCGTTCTTTGACGATTTCTGCCAACTTGAAATCGAGGGTCTGACCGATTCTGCGGATCAGGCGGCACTTGAAATGCTAGACCTTCTTGGCTGGGAAGTGTCTGACGGTGAGAAGCTGAAACCCTTCGCTTCGGAGTTCACCATGCTTGGTGCCGTGCTATCCTTCAAAGATGCTGGCAGGGGTCTGATTAGGGTTAGGAATAAGGCGGGGCGCTTGGAGGAGATTTCTGACATGGTGGATCGCCTCGCCTCTGACCCCACCTGTGGGGCGCGCTCTCTGCCGTCCTTGAAGGGCAAGCTCTTGTTTGCTTCTTCGCATGTGTTCGGTCGCTGTGCCCAGGTGGCTACTCAGTTGATTCACCATGCCGAGCGGCAGCAAGGTCCTGACCTGCAGAGCCGCGTTTTGGAATCTGTCCGGAGGGCGCTGGAAACCCTTAGGTAAGCCTTAGGGCTGCTGGGGATCGTCAGGTAAACCTGTGGTCTGAGCAGCCGCCCGTGGTCATCTTCACGGACGGGGCATGTGAGGAAACGGGAAACCAGGTGACGCATGGGGCGGTCATCATTGACCCGGCCTCGCAGACTCGGGAGGTGTTTGGGGGCCACATCCCCGCGAACCTCGTGGAGAAGTGGCGAAGCTCCGGCAGGACTCAACTCATCTTCTTTGCAGAACTTTATCCTGTCTTGATTGCGAGACGGACTTGGGCTAAAGTCCTGCGTAACAGAAACGTGCCGTCTCGCCTCGAGATAGCGTCTTATTCTTGACCGCTTAACATTCAAAATATGTTTTTGAATTGTGCCGCGCTTCGAAAAACTTCGGGCCCCACATGCTGTCTGATCTGATGGCGCTTGGCATATGCAGATTGTCTCTCAGGTGTGAGAGGAAACTTTTCTTGCAGGTTTTAGCGACTCCTCGGATTACTCTCTTGAGGATTGAGCGTGTCGGCAAGAAGGACAATAGGGGAGAGTTGTGGTTGTCATTTTGCAGTAACTTCTCCCGATGAGAAGCGACCTACCTGACTCGCCCGACTGGGGCGACAGTGATGCTGAGCTTGATGCTGAGCTTGCAGGTGAGCAGGGCTTTGTCTGGCCGGGGGACGACTGTCCCGAGCCTCCCGACCGCGGGGACGGCGAGTCCGACGGTGAGGCTGCAAGCTCCTTGAGCATGATGGGCGCAGGGATTGGCTCTTCGGGCTATTCGGGGGTTTCGGCTTTGGGCTCTTCGAGGGATCTTGACTCCGTCGACGTTGATGCAGACGGCCAGAGTGGTACATGCACTACGAACATGGGGCTTGCCTTTGTGCACGCCTTCAGCAGGCTGTCGCAACCCAGCGCCTCGCCTTCTTTGCTGTTGCCTTGGGAGACTCCCTTAATGAAGACCATTTTTGAGCCTTTGTCCGAGCCCCTGCCTGAGCTTAAGAAACCCTCTTTAGGCCTTGCCGACTTGTCCCCTCCCGAGTTTGCGAAGTATCTGCCCGATGCAAGTAGCAGTGCAAGTGCCGCGAAGCCTGTACATCCTAGCCTCGACTTCAAGGCAGGCCACGCCGCCGAACAGGCCATCAGAATGCTTGACGACGATGACTTCGAGAAGAAGCAGATTAAACTTATGAACGCTCGTATCGCAAAGTGGCATGTCATTGGTTTGAGGTATTCGGACGTATTTGAATTGCCTCGGCCTTCGGACGAGGAGATCTCGGCAATGATGGGCACTCGGTCAGTACGTACTGTGCTTGCCAGGGCAGGGTCCATGCTCCAGTTCGTCAGGTGGTGTGACACGGTGCGTGGTAGCAGTGATTCCATGTTCACTGATGAAGCTTACTGGGGCTATCTGCAGTTCCTCAAGACGAGTCGTGCAAGTGCTTCGAGAGGATCATCTTTCCTTTGTGCAGTGAGGTTTGCTTGGCATGTCATGGATCTCACAAAAATCTGCGGCTCGCCGTCACGGCGATGTGTGGGCCTTGCAGAACAAATGTCTGCTGAAAGAGGCACGCTGCGCCAGTCGGCGCCTTTGTTAGTGCAACAGGTGCTGCAGCTGCACCACATGCTGCATAGTGGCCTTGTCTCCAAGCTCGATAAGGCTTTTGTTGCATACATCTTGATTTGCTTGTGTGCCCGTTGCAGACAGAGCGACCTGGCAAAAGTGTCCTACGTTGAAGTGGATATCTCAGATTCAGGACTTGAGGGATACGTCATCTTTTACACGCGTCAGCACAAAACTGCGCGAGCTGCTCGAAGGTTGTCGCAAATGCTGCCCATCCTTATGCCAGTCTGTGGCATCGACGATCAAGAGTGGTTCTTGACAGCGCGGCGTGCCATGGAGGACATAGGCCATAGGCCTTAGTCTGGAGGGAAACATTGGTGGACCTGTGTTTCGGCCTCCGATTGATTTTGTCGAGGGTAGGCTGGCCCGGCGGGGAATCACATCAGAGGAAGTTTCTGCCTTCTTGAAGTTAGTTGTGCCGAGCCATGACGGGGTCTCTCGCATTGCATCCCAGAGTCTCAAACGCACAATGCTCGCTTGGTCGAGCAAGGCCGGCTTGTCTAGTGAGTCTAGGGCCATTCTTGGCAGGCATGCAAAATCCGTTGAGAGCTCTGAGGCCATTTACAGTGTTGAGCTCGGGCTTCCAGCTGTGAAGCAGCTGGAAGGCATCTTGAGGCAGGTGCGGGACAAAGAATTTAGGCCGGATGCGAGCCGTGCTGATATGTGGCGGTTCCCACCATCGCCGCCCGCAACCGTTGCTGGAGCCAAAGTGTCGAAGCCGTTGATCCCTTCTGTGGAGGTCAAGTCTGAGTCGGAGGCCAGTGATTCGGAGTCCTCAAGTTCGGAAGAGTCCAGCGGAGGCCATTCTGATAGCTCCGATTCTTCCAGCGGCAGCCCTCCTGCACCCAAGAGGCGTCCTCAGGCCGAGTCTCAAAGACTCATCCTTTCGGAAAAGGGTGGAGAGTGGGTCGTGCACAAGCGGTCGCACGTGTGGCATTGGACGTATGGTGTCAACATGTTGATGTGTGGCCGAAAGCGAAGTCACATGTACGTTCTCTCTGATAAGGGAGAGCCATCCGGGCCGGTATGCAGTACGTGCCGCAAGAACAAGGGTTCTTGAACCCCAGTGGCAATGGCCACAATATGGACTTGTGACAAGGGTCACTGCTGAGGAAGAAAGTTGCTTGGGCTGCGCGTGCTTGCGTCTGTAGGTGTGTTTCTCTCTTGTGTGCTGAGCTTGCAGTTTCTGACATGTGTCAAGGAAGACAGTGATTTGAGTCACATGGTGACGGACAGAGCAAGGGCTCAAGACCAAGGGGTCAGAGGCAAGGCCTCAACAATTCTCCATTGTGGGATTGTACAAGTAGCTGAATGCTTCATGTCATGATGTATGCACTCAACAACATTTCTGGAGCCATTCGTCTAGTTGCTGTAGTGTGACTAGATTCGAAGTGTCATGACTTCCCTCCTCGAGAGTGAAGCCCACCTGGACAAGCGTGCTGCCGAGGTGAAGTTCTCTGAAGTGGCCTTCAAGAGTCTCAAATTTCAGGGGTTCGTGACCCTTGGGCAGCTGGCATATAGTGTCGGGCAGCCTGGTCAGATCATCCCAGACGAGGCGTTCAATCAATTCGTAAAGGACACCATCCCCCGCGCATCGGGGGCCGACTCAGCTTGTCTCCGTCGCCTCATTTTTGAGGCTCAGACTTTAGTGCTTGCTGATTTGCGACAGCAGATTAACGACCCTGATGGATCATCAAAGAAGGTTCCGGAGGCTGAGCGCGAACAGCGCTTAGCTTCATTGCGGAAGCAATTACCTGGGCTTCTCATTGAGGGGCCAACGGAGCCAGGGCGGGCCCTCTTAGATGAGTGTGCGAGCCAAGAAAGTGCGTGCCAGCTTAAGTACATCAGCCCAGACCGCTGCATCTCTAGGACCTTTGAAGTCACGAATCACAAGAAGACTCCGAGGCAGCTTGAGTTAGATGCCAATCATCTTGTGGTAAAGAATCAGGAGGATGAGCTCACCATGCCCTCACACTCCGCGCTTCAGGTGCAGGAGGCCTTCCTTCGGCGAGGCCTTGCATATGTCTTTAGCCAGAGTGTGTCCTTTGATGCATATTCGAGGTACCTCTCGAAATTGTTCTCGCATATCCATCGCGAGCCGCCCCCGAACCATGCAAGAACCTCTGTGGCGCAGCTTGTCGAAGCCGATAAGCTGGTCTGGACCACGCTCATCGAGAGAGGTGTGAAGCCACGAAAGGATGCCACCGGGGCCTTCCCCTTGGACTCAGAGCTTATGCAAGCCTTGGAGAGCTATGAAGTGTCCTTCGGACTTATGCCGCTACGAAGTGGGTCCAAATGGGAGCCCCGCAAAAGGTTCAAAGGTGCAGGCAAGGATGGCAAGGACGACAACAAAGCCCCAGGGAAAGGTAAGGGTAAGAAATTGGCGAACCCTAAAGGGTACCCTAGTCAGGCTGGTTGGGGTTTAGTGCCTCGGGAGATCCTTAAGTTGGGTGGCGTTGCTTGCACGCCGCAAGGTGACCAGCTGTGCTTCTCGTACAACCTTCAAGGGGACAAGTGCAAGTGTGACGCTGCCACCTGCCCACGCAAGCATCTGTGCTGCAAGTGTTTCCAGCCGCACCCGATCGTGCAGCACAAGGATTGAAACATCGGCGGGGTGGGGGAGAGTGAATCCAACTTCAGATCCTCCCATGACCCGTCCGCGCAACCTTCGGCTCCTTCGGTGCCCGAGGGCGGTGAAGGCTCAGGTGCTCCTCGAGCCATAATCCCTGCGAATTCCAGTGTTACTGATGTTGTGCATGTGTCCGACTCCGATGATGAAACACTTAGTTGTCCGACTCCGATGATGAAACACTTAGTGTGGCCTTGTCGTCGGCTCCTTCTGCCGAAGTTGAGCCCGAGGCTGTAACTTGTGATGCCGAAACTTTTGCAGCTCGCCTCTTGAAACAAGCGGTCATCTCTCGTGATGCGATCCTTGCTCTTGTACGGTTGCTGCCTAGAGAACCTCCCCACACCGCGAAATCTGAAGAGCTCCCTTACCCTCAGGGCGCCTTTTATGCTGGCATGTACCGCAAAGGCAATGGCATCTCGGGCCTTCGCAAATCCTGTCGGGAATTCCCCTTGTCTGTCGCTGCCATCAATGCGTTCATGGCCCATGCTGTGCCTACAGCTTCTTACAATGCATTTGCCATACTTGACAATGTCGCTTCCCCTGCACACCGTGACCTGCAGAATGAACCGGTGGCCAGTCATGTGCTGGCCCTCTCTGCTTTCGCAGGTGGGGGCATCTGGGTGCAGTGCCCCCGAGGGGCCGTCTGCCGTCGTGTTGCTGGGGTTAACACTCCTGGCAAAGTGCTGAGCCTTGATAAAGGCCCTGTGCAGCTGGATGCTGCTTCGAGTTTGCACTCTACTGAACCTTGGCAGGGTGATCGTGTGATCCTGTCTTGCTACACCTTGAAAGGCTATGACCTCTTGACGTCTGACCAGTGCAACAGCCTCCTGCAACTCTCCTTCCCCTTGCCCTTGCAGGTTGGGCAATGCGCCCGCCCGTCACCTGTGGACTATGCGGCCTTGCGCGCCGCCACTGGTATACAGCCCAAAGCCAGCAAGACGGTACCCTTGGTACCGGAACATCGTGCTGTCATCGTTGTTCGAGGCCCGGCCCAACTGCTCCAGCCTCCCTGTGTCCTCAGACAACGCCTTGAAGCTGACTGGGCGGTGCCGACATCATGCACGTGTGCCTGGCCTTCCATTCCGAAGTATTCCCAACTTCTTCGGAGTGACTTGCTTGATGTTGAGGTTAAGGAGGGAAGTTCTGGGAAGGTGCTTGAACTTGCGTGGGGGATACCTTTCTCGCCATCTGAGTTTGTAGACTGCGCAGTGGCTGCAGGCCACCCCTCCCTGCTCGAAGCGAACCTCCCGCAGGAGCTGCAGGATGCGATTACGGATTCTTCAAAAATGACTCCCAAAAATCTTGCCTCACATAGGCTAAGGGTGCTCAAGGAGTGGTCCCGCAGGGCAAAGGACCTTGAGAAAAATGAGAAAGCCTTTAAAAGTTCCCTTCACCCCGAGGTTCGACCGATCCTAGCCGTCCTAGCCCCTAAACGCCTTCTCCTCTTTAAGAGCCTCCTGCAAGAATATGGTTACCCGGATTTAGATGCCTTCAATGAGCTCGTCAGTGGAGTCAGCTTGACCGGGGATGCTCCACACGCTGGGATCTTCAATGCGGCGGAGCGGCATGCTTCTATGACTGAGGCCGAACTCAAAGCAAAGGCGAAGGTCATCCAGCAGGATGTGCTTGGAAAGGTCACCAGTCAAGGAAGTGAGATCGATGCGATCGTGAAACAGAAGACGGTGGAGGAAGTGCAAAAGGGTTGGCTTGTAGGCCCCTTTGAGATTGAGGACCTGCCAGAACATGCCATCATAAGCAAACGTTTTGGCCTGCCACAAGCTTCTGGAAAACCCCGCCTCATCGATGATTTCTCAATTTCGCATGTCAATGAGTCTGTCGGGGCTGGTGAATCACCGAAGCCGCATACCGCCGATGTGCTCTGCGCAATACCCTTCAGTCCATGAGGGCCTTTCCTGGAAGAAAGTTCGTGGGTCGTGCCTACGACCTACAAGCAGCCTATAGGCAAGTCCCTGTCCATCCCTCATCATCGTGGGCTTCGTATGTTGCATATTATGACTGTGTCTCCGAATCCTGCCTTGCGAGCAATACCAACAGTTCAATCCAAATCTTCTTCACTCTCCTTGGGTGGGCCTTTGCGAGGGAAGGTTCGAAAGCCGAGCCGTTTGGTGAGCTTGTAACAGCATTGGGCGTTCGGCTGTCCCTTGCCAGTTTCCCTTCGGGCCGTGTGGAGCTGTGCAACACTGAGTCCCGCACCAACGAGTTATGCACGTCTATCCGTGCGATCATGGACGCTGGTACGTTGACCAAAAGTGCAGCACTAAAACTCCGTGGCAGGATGCAGTTTGCTTGTGGGCAGGTTTTCGGTAGGTTGGCCAAGGTTTGCCTCAAGCATCTCACTGATTTTGCTTACGGCGATCTGCCTCCAAATGTGCCTGCTAATCTTCTTCATGCGCTTCAGGGGTTTTGCGGGGTCCTCAAGGAAGCTTCTCCTAGACTGGTGCAGGTCATGCGACAGGAACCGATGTTTGTTTTCACCGATGCTTGCTTTGAGCCCTCGGCATCGGACTGGAAGTGTGGCATTGGCGGTGTCTTGTTCAATCATCGAGGTGATCTTATCGGGTCCTTCTCTCACTCCCTATGCGCTCGGCATCAAGACCTTCTTGGTGCGCAGGTTCAACAGACGATAATCTTTCCCGCCGAGCTTCTAGCCCTCCTTTGTGGAATGAGGCTATGGCTGCCGGCCCTGAAGGGGCGACCCACTGTATTCTTTGTAGACAACAGTTGCGCTCGTGACGTTTGCATCTCTGGGTCAGGCCGCGCCGCTGTCATCAAGGCCCTGTTGCAGGTGCTTCTCAAGGATGAAGAAAGTGCGGGCATTGCTTCGTGGTATCAGAGGGTCCCAAGCCCTTCAAATCCTGCAGACGACCCTTCAAGAAGGAAATGTCATCACGTCACAGTCGGTCGCAAGACTGTCAAGTGCACCCCGATGTTGAAGAAATAGTGGAAAAGATTTTCTTTGAATTTGAGGCTAATAAGGGAAGTTTGTTGTAGGTCCCTGCAGGGAGGGGTGTGCACACCCGTGGCCCGCCGTGGCAGTGCACCCCCTCTAAGTCCCAACCCTGTAGGCTTAGGTGTCGCCAAAGGCGAATACTTAGTGCTTGAAATCTCGAACTGAGATGACAAAGCGAGTGTCGCAGCACCTGCTGCGACAAAACACAGAGTGCTCCCTTGCTACCGACGGAAAAGAGTGTTGTGTGCGCGAGTGCGTTTGTGAGTGAAGCCTGCAACGTTCTGCTGTTCAGACTTGTGTAAGTTTTGTGCGGCTCTGGGTTCAAGAATAAACGTGCCGTCTCGCCTCGAGATAGCGTCTTATTCATGACCGCTTAACATTCAAAATATGTTTTTGAATTGTGCCGCACTTCGAAAAACTTCGGGCCCCACATGCTGTCTGATCTGATGGCGCTTGGCATATGCAGATTGGCTCTCAGGTGTGAGAGGAAACTTTTCTTGCCCACCCACGCCGCCCTGGGAAGTTTGTTGTAGGTCCCTGTAGGGAGGGGTGTGCACACCCGTGGCCCGCCGTGGCAGTGCACCCCCTCTAAGTCCCAACCCTGTAGGCTTAGGTGTCGCCAAAGGCGAATACTTAGTGCTTGAAATCTCGAACTGAGATGACAAAGCGAGTGTCGCAGCACCTGCTGCGACAAAACACAGAGTGCTCCCTTGCTACCGACGGAAAAGAGTGTTGTGTGCGCGAGTGCGTTTGTGAGTGAAGCCTGCAACGTTCTGCTGTTCAGACTTGTGTAAGTTTTGTGCGGCTCTGGGTTCAAGATAAGGGTTCTGATCTTCGTGGACAACGAGGCAGCGAAGGCGGCCTTGATCAGAAATTATTCTCCTTTGTTGGATGCCGCTCACATGTTGTCTGACATTGCGGAGCTTGATGTCGAGCTCGGTTGTTTTCCGTGGTATTGCCGGGTGCCGTCCAAGAGCAATTTTTCCGACGCTGCCTCCAGGTTGAGCTTTGGGGAATATGAGGAATGTTTCCGAAGGATTCAGCCGACCTTGGTAGTGTCTTAGGCAGCCATGCGCAGTGTGTTCGGATGGGGGGAATGTGGCACCGCTTATGATGGGCATTGGCCGTCGTGAGTTTTGTGCCTAGTTGCTCGTGATGTGCATTGGCCGTCATGGGTAACCAACTTTCTTTGTACGGTCTGTTCCGTAACGAATGCGACTTGTGCCATCCCCCGTCTGAAAACAATCGTTGCTGTGCGCGTGTGTTCTCTGCATGCTATTCCATATGGTGAATGAATATATCCATCAGTCATGTTCGATATTCCTTTGATGTACCGAAATAGTTCACTTGTGCAGTTTTCCTTTTTCGAGATTACATTTGAAAGGATTGGCTTATAAGGATAAAGACAATCTCACGTTCGTGACATCCTCTTATCCTTTTGCCAACAGGTGATATGTTCACCGTCCTTTCTTTGTAATCGTTTTCCCACACTTTTGTGAAAGTGGTCATGGTGCTTCCGGTGCACAAATGTATTTGGGCATGCCTCATGAATCCTGTCTTCTTAGGCATGTTTTGGATTTTATTTTGAAAAGTAGTCGGACGCGCTTTCAAGTATGTGGACTACTTTTCTTCAAATTTGGTACAATTGTTGTTTGATGGAACAATGCTCCGCTGAAGGTTTTGGCTCTGTATGCAGAGCTCACATGTGAAAATTTTGACCCGCCCTCCCACCCTGGGGGGGGAATGTGGCACCGCTTATGATGGGCATTGGCCGTCGTGAGTTTTGTGCCTAGTTGCTCGTGATGTGCATTGGCCGTCATGGGTAACCAACTTTCTTTGTACGGTCTGTTCCGTATTGAATGCGACTTGTGCCATCCCCCGTCTGAAAACAATCGTTGCAGTGCGCGAGTGTTCTCTGCATGCTATCCCATATGGTGAATGAATATATTCATCAGTCATGTTCGATATTCCTTTGATGTACCGAAATAGTTCACTTGTGAAGTTTTCCTTTTTCGAGATTACATTTGAAAGGATTGGCTTATAAGGATAAAGTAATAGAAAAAGTAATAGTAATAGTAATGGCAATAACAGTAGTAAAACTTGGATTGAAACGATATTTACGTGGGTCTTATGCCTCTGCACATACTTTCTCCCATTGGAGTGCGCAAGATCGGAGCCCTGCTCGGCCCTTGGGCCTGCAACGTTCCTGTCAACCGTTCCCTAATCGCGCCCTGTGGTTTCCGAAAGATGCGTGTGGTTTCTGAATCAGCCGTCGTGGTTTCCGAATGAGCCGTTCTAGTTTCCGAATCATGGTGTGGTTTCTGAATCATGGCCGGTTTCTGATTCAGCTGTTCTGGTTACTGATTCAATCGTTCTGGTTACCGATTTTGCCGTCGACCGTGGATTCCCTAAATGTCAAAATGGTGAGTGGTGTTTATAGAAGGGTGAAGCCATTACACCCTTTGCAAGTACATCGATTGTAAAAAGGGTTCGAGAGACAACTCCCCCTCTGTGGGCATGAGTAACTTTGTAACAGTACACATAGCCGCTTAAGCCCGCATGGTTAAAACATGCCGATTGCTCTGTGGCAAGCTTTGCTCGGATCCTTCGGGACACAGCACATCCTACAATGATACAGTTTCTCAAATCTGATGCCTTCACAAGTGATAACAAGCGCCGTCACCAACCTGGCGAGTCCTGCATGTTTGGCTAAGTCAAGCCTAGGACGACCAAGGACCTGACAGTATGTGCTATCTTCGCTCCCCAACATCTCAGCTAGGCAGGAATCACCATTGAGAGCTTTTTGATCGGGGGCGGCACTCAGCTGAACTCTGAGCTCCAAAGTACCCCCCTTCTCGCCCTCATCTGCAATGGCGCGTTTTAAGTGCCGGCACGCTGGCGATTGGGGATATGAAAACGGTGCTCAGTTCATGGACGCTGAGAGCCTCGGTTGCACTTCCTTCCTCGACTCTGAGTGTTGTGAGCGTTCGGTGCAACTTCTTCTTGGATTTGAGACGCAGACTCAAGGTATGATCGTGCCTGCGGAATGGAGATGCCTCAAGCGCTCTGGGCACAGCAGTATGCTCCACAGCCCGATCAGTCGGGGTGGCTGAATCCTTACCAGCTGCCGCTGCCTGTAGTGCTGCTGTGCAGTGGCCATTGGATGCCAATGGATCAGCAAAGGGTTGACGTCCAGTGGGAACAGGCCGGGCCGAGAACGCAGGATCTGCTGTCAGCCTTAGCAAACGTTGTCTGCTCTGATGCTCTGGCAGGACGAGCACACGCCGCACCTGGCTGACGTTGGGCGTGCAATTCCCATCCATACCTTTTCCAACTTCTTGCCCCGTGCCAATGTGCGCTGGTCTCTCGACCTGACGTCTTGACACTGCACCGTATAGATCGGTGCTGCTTAGCAGGGGAGATACTGGTTGCAGAGCCCTTTGCGGAAAACTTGCACTAGGTCCACAACTGCTCTGCTTCGAGTTGACCAGTTGAGTGAGGTGCAGGGATGTGGACAGGGAGCAAGTGGAGCGCACACTGGAACGTGCACAAAAGCAAATCCAGAAACTCGAAAAGGAGCGCCTCGGCTAGAAACCGAGACTTTGTCAAGTTCGGTTCAGGAAGTGTCATGTCTACGCTGCCCATCCAGGGCGTGTGATTGACGCTCATTTCGAGGTTGCAATGGCAAGCCAACAGCTGCTTGATGAGCCAGACTGCCATCAGCGTTCTTGAGGAACAGGTGCAAGACCTGCAGTCTGCCATTGAGATCTTCTTGGAAGATGAGCAGCTGGGCTGAAGTGACTTTAAAGAATACACTTGCACAAAGAAACCCAGGAGCTTGCAAACAGTTGATGGAACGGCTTCGCATCGTTGAATCAACGGGGCAATGAGAGCCGGTTGATGGGCTTGACATGTGTTTGCAGCAGGAATCTAAAGACGATGTTTGTGCTTGACTCCGCTTTCGCCGCTTGCAGAACTCCAGCTCCGTGTTTGGAATGCATTGCCACATATGGCCTTGCCGTTTTCCTGGAGAACATATCACAAGAAACATAAGTCTATCTGGTTCTCGTGGCGAAGTGCGCGCTTTAACCCGCCAACCCAAAACTCCGATCAAGCAGCAGGTCAGCGCCAAGAGAAGCTCCAACCACAGAAAAGCGCTCAAAGGAACCTGAGCCGCGTGAAACCGCCAGTTGAAACTCAGGCGCAACCAGTGCACTGAGAGGACGGTTGCCTCTGAGCACGTTCTGCGGTGCGAAGAGGACAGTTTTGCTGTCAAGAAAAACATCATGGCATAGATTGTTTTGGTATTTCCTTCCTCCATCTCACCTTCGTGCCGTGTGCGAGTGCCAGGAAGCTGGGTGTGACGCTTTGGCTAGCGAGGCGGAGACCCTCCCAACAGTGGAGATGCCCAGCTGCAGAGAGGTGTCGCTGAGAACTTGCAGTTTCCCAGTAGCTGGCCCGGTAGTTTCCTTCACAGGCCCCGCGGCGGGCGGCAGCACCACCCGCAAGAAGAAAGGACAAACAAGTCAAGCAATAAGAATTACAAAAAGCAAGGGCTCAGAACACTTCTCTGCCTCTGGGCCATCCTAGGCTCCCGAAAATGCTTTCTTAGAAAAGTTGAGATAGGAGCGCCAGGGACGCGGGCAGAGCCAGTAAGTCACCAAGGTGCATGGGGCCGATGCAGAGCCATGACGAGCCGCTTGGCAGTCGAAGCATACCGTCCACCGGATGTCGCACACCTAAATGCTCGCTTTTGTCAAGGCTCGAGGTTCGCAAGCTCCCCCTGGAGAGGCCTGGAGAGGATGGATTCCCTGACATGCCTGCCAGCAGCACAAGCACAGGTCCTGCGAAGCGGAGCCATCGCTGGCAGGCCTACGCGATGCCGAGGACACGGCTCCTGATGGAGCAATGTTACAGGCGAGCAGGATTAAGCTATGCATCGAATCCAAGCTTTGAGATGCCCTTCCCAGGACAAGCACGTCCCCAGAATTCACCTGTCGCACCGTCTAAGTCGATACATCACTGTACTCCTCAGCAATCCGCGGAGCTGGTGATGCCCGCTGCAAATCGCCATTGCCCCGCCATGACGCACGACTCTCAGCATGATGGCAGGAGCCGGTGGCGACGGAGGGCGCGCCTCCAACTGCTGCTGTGCTGCCACAAATGCCGCTCTGCAGAGACAGCGCCTGCAATGACCACGACGGCGATCTGCACTTCGCTTGCAACGATGATCTGTGAGGCGTTTCAAACTGCCTCAGGTTGGCCCAGTTGCTGACGTGCTTCCTCGGGTCCGGCAGTTCCCCTCTCGCTGTGCCTACGCCTCGGTCAGGGCAGAGCCTTGGGCAGCAATCCGTGTTTTGCGACTACTGGGGATGCCTGCAGCACTCTGCTGCCGAGGTCCCAGACGATGGAAGAGCCTGACGAAAAGCAGCGCTCTCAGAAGACCGCATGCTCAGGAACGGGGCGCAGGGTGGAATCGCCTTGTGGAATCAACCAATGCTCACGGACAAACTGCTTGTCTGACACACGAAAATGGTGGGAGGTGCGGATTGCATTGGGACAGGAAGCTCTTCCCCTGTGCACCATAGACCGCAGACCAGACGACCAGACCTCAGACGTACACAAACCTTAAGATCCTGAAGCACATTTAGGCACTACCAGACTATGGAACCGTGCCCTGAACATTTTTTACAGGCCCGAGCCGTAATCTCTCCATGAATGGCAAAGGTCGCTTCGGCAGGATTCATTGCATTTCTCTTGGATTGGAACCTGCGGATTCGGGATCTTTACTCCTTTACCGGAGTGCTTAGCGGTGAGCAAGCCCTCCCCCCACAGGGTACTTGTAGTGCAGACACGTTATGAAAAGCGGCACCGGCCGGACCTGCCATCTTGTTTTCACAAAAGCAAGATGCAGGTGTGCATACGTGAGACGCGGCGGATGCCCGATGATGTCGATGACAGTGCTGTGCCTGCTGAAGCCCCAATGCCGCCTTTGAATCTGGCAAGGTAGTTGCTCCAGACGCGGAAACAGCGGGAATCTGCGAGCCCAAATTTCGTTAGCTGGGTTCATGATCACACATGTTTGAATGTCCCCTGCTTGCCTCGCACAACAAGACGCTTGCTTGCGATTTGTGTCACATCCCGAATGCCTTCGAGCGGAGCTGACTTGTTGTGGTTGCAACTTGAAGGCAAGCTTCCTCAATGTCGTTTCTGCTTTGCAACCCGAATCGCCCCAGGCGGCTTTCTACGGCGAGCACTTGCGACTCTGACGGACGGCCGGCTCCGGAGGCTAGATGCAGAGTCAGCGAGCCATGCGCATTCATCGACAGCTGCGCAGCTTGAAAGGATCTTCTTCCAGATGCGTCAGATGAGAGAGCTGCAGATGAGGAGTCTTCAAGCAGCATCAGCGATGTGGAGCACGGCTCTGTAGTTGACGAGTGTAGGCAGACGTTTATGACAAGGTTTCCTTCAGAAGGCCCTGTTTTGCAGGACTTGGCGAAAAACTAGGTGCGGCCTTACGCAGATGACTTCAATTTTACCTGGCAGTCGTCACTGATCGCAGGAGCGCATGGCAGCGGAGGGCGCGCTTCCGATTGCTGCTGTGCTCCCTGGGCTGCCGATTGGCCCGCACCTGGACGTCGAGCGCCTCCCTTGTGGCCCCGACGCGTGGGGTGCTTAAACCTGCTCCAATGTGTCGTGGGTGCCGGACCTTCCTATAATACGACCTGCTACAACCTATAAAGCCCTTTCCTCAGGCCTGAGGACATGGTTGGAGCTGCGGTTTCACCCGGTCGACGGGTGAATGCGCAGGACGAAGAGCTCAAGCATGGTTATGACAGCTTCCGTCACGAAAGCTAATGAAAGCTACAGTAGCCCTGGGCTGAATGTTTCTGATCCACCATGTCGTGACCGATTCTGAGCTATCCTGCCCTTTAGAGCCTCATATTTGCTTTCGAGTTTGAGCGGCCTGCAGTAGCTTTCGTTCCAGTCACAAACAAGTGCCTGATTAATCGGCACGCAAGGCAACTGTGGTATTTTGACATAATTTGACATGGGTGTGTAAGTCGATACATCACTGCATTCCTCAGCAATCCGCAGAGCTGGTGATGTCTGCTGCAAATCGCCATTGCCCCACCATGACGCACAACTCTCCGCATGATGGCAGGAGCCAGTGGCGACGGAGGGCGCGCCTCCAACTGCTGCTGCGCCACCACAGCTGTCGCTCTGCAAAGACATCGCCTGCAATGACCAGGACGGCGACCCTGTCGGAAGAGAGCTTTGAGTGCTTCTTGCTCTGCCGCTTCTCAGGTTTGCCAAAGGTTGCGTTACCCTGGGCATTTGCATGTTACACGTAGCTCCAGCAGGATTCCTGCGACGATGAGCAGCAATGCGGTGACGATCGGCCAGCTTGGAGCCCGGACCCACTGAGGAAGTCACGAAAGCTCGCCAAGTAAGAAAAGGCCCCCGTGAGAAGGCTGAGCTTGTTATCAAGCGACAGCTTGCGACAGGGGTGTGGACTAGTGACTAGGGGGCGTCCGGGACTGCGGTTCAGGGCCGCATTCTGGTCGTAGTTGGTCCTAGTTTTTGTGCGTCTTAGACTTTGGGCTCGTTCCAGTTCCGGTCCCTCACCAGTGCCAGATACGAGGCTTGCAGGCAAGTGGCATGTTGTGACTTGGGTCTGCAACCAATTTTGGTACGGGCTTGAGCCTAGGCCTCGGCCCAGACAGAGGTTGCCGATCGCCACGCTGTCGACGAGCGGAGGCTGTCGACCTCTGCCAGCGAGTCTCAGCGACCTGCCTTAAGCTGTTCCTTCACCATGCCGTGCCCTGCGAGGTCTACGGCTGATGCGGCGTGCCAGACAGACGGCGAGCACTGCACCGCCCCTCGTCTTAAGGCCACGACAAGTTCCCTGACACACGCCTCTTTGCACTGATGCCACAGACGCCGCAGACGCCTGCAGAGGAAGTCTGAAGAAGATGAGCCCAGGTCGGACCACAGCCTCGGCCCAAGGCGCTCGAAGGCATCGAAGTCCGCATCGGGGAATGCTCTCCCCACGACCTCCATGTGCACCTCGGCTTCAGTCGGGGCTTATGTCCGTGGTCTGCTCGCACGGTCTTTCGGTTTCTCTTGGCGAAAATCTGGCAGATCCCGTGGAACGTCTCAGGCCAAACCTGCTGCCGTATCTGAGCGCTGCTTGGTTGCAAAGCGGCCAGCGGCAGGGCTGTCAGTCAGTGCTAGGGCTGTCGACACGTGCTTTACAGGGTGTTGTTCATGTAGGGTTTGGTGTGCAGTACAGGTGCAGGAGTTGATGAGTTGGCGCCTGGTCTCGCGACGCACCAGAAGCCCCGAGGCCTGCAGTCTTCTGCCTCCCGAAGCCTGCTTCGTTTCTTGGGCCGTATAAGGATGTGCATGTGCTGCTGCCAGGCCTTGCTAAATCACTTGGAAGAGATGGGCAGCATGGACAGGCGCGGGAGGGTCCTGGCACACTCAACAGTCTGCCGGAAACCCTTTCCAAGCTGCTTGCGTGGCACCGGAGCGGCTACGGTAACATGAGTTCCTACAGTCATGGAGACGGATGAAGCATGTCTGATGGAAAGGAACCTTTCGATTGCTCTCCATGTTCGTGTCTCCTACGGTGGCTGCTCTTGTGTTAACATGCGTTAACAAGGTGTGATCTGAGCAGTCCTGTATGCTTGCTTTCGTTCCCTCCCTCCATACACCCTGACGCGTAATCACATCTAGTCAGAGAGCTGCTTCCCTGAGTTTGGCTTTTGTCAGTTGCCCGTCGCGATGCGGTGCAGGTCCCAGTCAGTGGTCGCTTTCGCGGAAAAGGTGGACGCCTTTGAGACCAACCCGAAGACATCCTTTGCGGCAGCCTTTGGAGGCGATGCCGAGCAGCAGAAGTTATACGAGTGCGTCTTGTCTTGTTGAGCATGGTTCAAAGGCAGCATACCCCTCTTTTCGGTAGTGCATCAGTCGGCTGTAGTGACTTTCACCGACTCGGCTTCACTCCGAGGTCGGTTGTGGTGTATGGCCCTGGCATCCGAGAACAAAACCCATTTTGCTCAAAGTGTCGTCGATGGCATCGTCGGCGACAACCTCGAAAGTCTGCTTAGGCACGGTCAGAGTACGGACACGCGTGTTGCTTGGGCCGCCTCGCTCGTGGTTTCGAACTATGCATCCGATTTCCTCCCTTGTGTGCAGCAACGAACTGCGGTTGCCACGCTCGCCCTGATGGAAGACTTAGTCGAGTCCAACACGGGCGACAACTTGTCACCGAAAGGGCCGATACGGTTTTGCAACCAAGTGCTTGCCCGGGTATGGCGCTCACTGAGCAGGCCTCAGCGTCAGAAGTGGGTGTCCCTTCTGGTCAAGCTACTCATGGGCCGCTGTGTCCCCCAAGAAATCAAAATGCAAGTGATTCAACGACTGGATTTGGTTTTTTCGCTTGATGGCCCTCCCACGGAAAGCTATGCAGAAGCCGAACAGCAGCTGCAGATTCTCGCGAAGTCCGGCGCCGAAGATCTGTGGCTGCAGCGCATGATCAGGCTTTACATGCAGTCCTGCTTCAGCTGAAATCTGCCTACAAAAGCCAATGCGACTCAGTGCTCCCTTGCAGGCCGGAGGATCCTTCAACCATCACCATCACCATCGCTAGCACCATCTCGTCGTCAACGTCTTTCGCCGCCACCGCCACCGCCACCACCCACCACCACCACCACCACCACCACCACCACCACCACCACCACCACCACCACCACCGCCACCACCACCACCACCACCACCACCACCCAAACCACCACCACCACCACCACCACTGCCATTGCCGTCACCATCGCCATCACCTGTACCGGGCCCAGCTCCACGCCATTGGCATCGCCGATGGCATCGGAAGCATCGATACCATCGTTGCCATCGACACCGCGCTGACCGCCAGCACCAGCAGCAGCAACCGCACCAGCACCAGCACCGGCACCTTCATCGTTATCCTCATACTCCTTCTCGTCATCCTCTTACTTAGTTACTTTTCATGTACATGATCATCAGTATCATCCTTATCATCATTAGGAAGTATGTCATATTAGCTGACGAGGGGTGTTAATATTCGGGGGAAGCCATGACACTCATTGCAAACTTCGACGCTAGAAGGGTCCGAGAGACAACTCAACCCTGGTCGGCATGATCAACCTTGTAACAGTGGCCCCAGAAGCCCGCACAACTAAAACATGCCGATTGCTCTGTGGCAAGCTTTGCTCGGATCCTTCGGGATACAGCACATCCGACAATTGCCCGTATCTAATACCTGCACAAGTGATAACGAGCCACGTCACCAACCTGGCGAGTCCTGCAGGTTTGGCTAAGTCAGGCCTAGCACGACCAGGAAACTTACAGTATGTACTATCTTCGCTCCCCCTCATCTCAGCTAGGCAGGCATCACCATCGAGAGCTTTTGATTTGCCCGTTCGGGCAGCAGTCAGCTGAACTCTGAGCTCCAAAGTACCCCCCTTCTCGCCCTCATCTGCAATGGCGCGTTTTAAGTGCCGGCACGCTGGCGATTGGGGATATGAAAACGGTGCTCAGTTCATTCACGCTGAGAGCCTCGGTTGCACTTCCTTCCTCGACTCTGAGTGTTGTGAGCGTTCGGTGCAACTTCTTCTTGGATTTGAGACGCAGACTCAAGGTATGATGGTGCTGGCGGAATGGTGATGCTTCAAGCGCTCTGGGCACAGCAGTATGCTCCACAGCCCGATCAGTCGGGGTGGCTGGATCCTTACCAGCTGCCACTGCCTGTAGCGCTGTTGCGTAGTGGCCACCGGATGCCCATGGACCAGCGAAGTGTGGACGTCCATCGGGAGCAGGCCCGGCCGAGAATGCAGGATCTGCCGTCAGCCTTAGACGTTGTCTGCTCCGATGCATGTCCTGGCAGGGCGAGCACACGCCGCACCTGGCCGACGTTGGGCTTGGAATTCCCATCCATACCTTTTCCAACTTCTTGCCCCGTGCCAATGTGCGCTGGCCTCTCGACCTGAAGTCTTGAAACTGCACCATTTAGATCGGTGCTGCGTAGCATAGCACGTGTGTGAGGGGTCGAGGAGGCCTGGCAGGGGACATGCTGCCTTAGGATTGTGCTTGCAGAAGGTGTGCAGCAGCAGTGCTTGGTTGCAGAGCCATTTGCGGAAACGTTTCACCAGGTCCACAACTGCTGTGCTTCGAGTTGACCAGTTGAGTGAGGTGCAGTGATGTGGACAGGGAGCAGGCCCAGCATGCACTGGAAAATGCGCAAAAGAAAATCCAGAGACTGGAAAAGAAGCGCCTCGGCTGAAACGGAGACTTTGTCAAGTCCAGGAAGTGACGCGTTTGCACTGCCCATCCTGAGCGTGTCACATGCGAGTGACCCACCTTCCGAGGTTGCAATGGGAAGCCAAGATGCGCGACGACAGCTGCTTGATGAGCCAGACTGCCATCAGCGTTCTTGAGGAGCAGGTGCAAGACCTGCAGTCTGCTATTGAGATCCTGATCTGGGAAACGGAGCAGCTGGGCTGAAGTGACTTTTCAGGACACAATTTGGTGCGCACAGGAACCGAGGGGCCGGCAACAGTTGATGGAACCGCCTCGCATCGTTGAATCAACCGGGCAATCAGGGCCGCTTGATGGGCTTGATGTGTGTTTGTAGCACAAATCTAAAGACGGTGTTTGGGCTTTGCTCCGCTTTCGCCGCTTGCAGAATGTAAGGCGTGTGTTTGGAATTCTTTGCTGCGTAGTGCCTTGCCATTTGTCTGGAAAACATCTCACGAAACCTAAATCTATCTCGTGACGGAGCATGCGCTTTAGCCCGACAATCCAAGACTCCGGCAGCAGCTCAGCGCCGAGAGAAGCTCCAAATGCAGGGAAGCGGTCAATCCTCTTGCCGCCAACATGAGCCGGGTGAAATCCCGACTCAAGCGCAACCAACGCACCGCTGCTAGCACGTTTGCCATCGTTTGCCTCCGAGTACGTTTGCTGTCCGGGCAGCTTGCAGTAAGGCTTGCTATGGCTTGCCGATGGTAGGTTTGCTACGCACAGCACCTTTGTTGAGCTTGTGAACATGAAACAGGCGGGTTGTCCTGACGGTTTGCGTAACATGCGGATGCCTTCGAGAGGAGCTGACTTGCTGTGGCCATCTCGCAGACTTCAATGTATGCAAGCTTCTTCGGTGTTGTTTCCACAAAACCGTATGGCCATTCACACATGCCCAGCACTTGAGCTGGGCGTTTTCGGTGGTTGCATGGACTAAGGCATCTTGCCAGCTTCAGCCTTGACGAGGCTAGAAAGTGCCACGAGCCGCACTTTACAATCGCATTACTTATTGCTTGAACGCATGGTCTTTCCTGTAGAAGCTTGGTGCCGGTCGTGATCCAAGGCACCGAAAGAGCACTGACAGCCAGTGCAGCAGCGGCAGTGACAGCAGCGACAGCAGCATCGACGGTGCCGGCAGCGAAGTCGGCACTTGCGTGCCTGACGACCGCGTCCAGCCCGGGCCTCGCGAGTGCTTCGCGCGCATGAAGACATCTTGTTATGCAGCGAGGTGCGTCGCCAAGCTGGGGGACATGGAGACTGCAATGGCAGAGTTGCGGTGCGACAACGACGTCTTGCGCCGGGAGCCACTCTGCTGTACAGTGGTTCATGGTTGATGATGGCGGCAAAAGCACTCCTGCAGTGATTCCGGGACTGCACTTGTTCGGGCTCGCAGCCGCGCTTCCTACTTGTACTAGTAGTGTGTTTGGGATGTGCGGTTTGTAGGCTGTTGTGTAGCTTTAGGCGTCTTTCGGTAACCTCTGGCAAGTGCTGCATGGCTTTGGGCCCGAAGAAGGGTTAGGACACGAATGCTGAGATCAAACAGACCGAATGTGGAAAGTCGTGGATGTGAAAGCATACAGACACGACCAGTGGTCTGACTTGTTTAAAATATTGTGTTGCCCAGTCTGATACAAGTTTCAATTCGAAATTTAGCGAGGGGGATGTTTGCGGCCTGGGTAGAACCACTCAGGTGCATGGAGCTGACAAAGCGCAATGACGCTTTGACGCTGAAGCCTCTTGGCACTCGAATCATTCGAAGCATCTTAGGCTCTGGAAGCGGGTTTTGCGTGGCTGCGAGAGGGAAAGAGCACATGCTTCGATGTCGCACGCCTTTTTGCCAAGGCTGGAGGTTCTTGAGAGGGAGCGCTCCCGCCACGAACCGAAGCTGCCACCTGGGCGCGCTTTCCGTCCTCCTCGTCCGCCGTTCCCTGGCAGTCTGATGAGATACGCCGTAGACCGCAGAGTAGGCCGCCAACCGACCCAAACCTTAAACACTAGTCACATTCACTACACCATGATGGAACAGTGCCCTGAACACTGAAAAGGCCCGTGCCGTAATGTCTTCCAGTCGGCAGGATTGATTGCTTTTCTCTTGCGAAGCTTTGGGATTCTGGATCGTTCATCCTTTGTCGGAGTAGTGCAGACACGCTACTGAAGATGCGGGCGAGGGAGAGGTTTAGGTTGCTAGCTACCCGTAACTTGCCAGCTAGCGAGAGAGACAGAGACAGACAGAGAGAGAGAGAGAGAGAGAGAGAGAGAGAGAAAGAGAGAGAGAGAGAGAGAGAGAGAGAAAGAGAGAGAGAGCCGCCGAGAAAGCGATGCCACGCAGCCGCAGTGATACGATTGGACCCTTCGGATTGAGATTCTGCTTCTGCTGCAGCCTGCCCTGCTTAATTTGCGCCGGCTAGCTTGAGTCATCTTGAGTCCCTGTGAGTCCTTGGGCCTGAGCCGCCAATAGCTTGCCGCAAAAGGAGGACCGGTAAGCTGGAATTCATTACAAAGCTTGACAGCTAGCAGTTTCCCAAAAGCTTGCCCCGTAGTTTCCTTCACACTCGAAGCATGTTGGCCTCAAGATGTCACGCCCATGCTCGCTTTTGTCAAGGCCGGAGGTGCTCGAGCAGGAGCTTCGAAACGAGAGGCGCAAGCTTCCGCTGGAGAGGCCTGGAGAGGATGGATTCCTTGACATGCCTGCCAGCAGCACAAGCACAGGTGCTGCAAAGCGGAGCCACCGCTGGCAGGCCCATGCGATGCCGAGGACTGCTTTTTTTCAAAAGGCACCGTTCCACGAGTGTAGGCAGACATTTATGACAAGGTTTCCCAGGACTTGGCGAATAACCAGGTGCGGCCTTCCGCGGATGACTTCAATCCTACCTGGCAGCCGTCACTGATCGCAGGAGGGCGCGCTTCCAACTGCGGCTGTGCTCCCGTGGCTGCCGATTGGCCCGGACAGTGACGTCGAGCGCCTCCCTTGCGGCCCTGGCGCGTGGGGTGCTTAAACCTGCTCCAATGTGTCGTGGGTGCCGGACCTTTCTCTTTCCTCAGGCCTCCCGGCATGCGAGGAGCTGCGCTTTCACCCGGGCGACGGCGACGGCGGGATGCGCAGGACGAAGAGCTCAGACACCATTTCGTGACCGATCCTGAGCTGTCCTGCAAGGGGGAACCCCCTCTGGATCCTCATATTAATATCATTGTTGAGAGGTTCCAGTCCCAATTTTCTTGCATCTCAAGCATGGGTGGCCTGCAGTTGCTTTAGTTCCATGCAGTCCTTAGCAAGTGCCAGACAAATGGGTATGCAAGGCAGCTGGGGCCTGCTGTCTGATGTGGAACGCCCATGAACACCCCCAGGAACCTAGCTTCCGGTGAGGGCTTTGGCCAAAGGATGCCGACGGCCACGCTTGCATCGACGAGGGGAGGCTGTCGATCTCTTCCACTTCCAGCCAGTCTAAGCGACCCGCCTTGAAATTGTCACTGTCATAGCAGTTGTCGTGGCTGTTCCTTCACCATGCCGTGCCCTGCAAGGTCTACGGCTGATGCGGCGTGTCAGACAGCAAGTTCCCAAGCGCACGTCTTTTCGAACTGATGCTACGCACCGCTGCAGAGAAGGAGTCGAAGAAGACGAGCCCAGGTCGGACTGCGGCGTCGGCCCAAGGCGCTCGAAGGCGTCGAGGTCTGCATCGGGGAGTCATTTTTCTGATCCACCATTTCTTGACCGAATCTGAGCTATCCTGCCCTTTAGAGCCTCATATTTGCTTTCGAGGGGTTCCTGTCCGAAGTCTCGTGCAGCTCAAACTTGAGCGGCCTGCAGTAGCTTTCGTTCCAGTCATGAACAAGTGCCTGATTAATCGGCACGCAAGGCCACTGGGGCATCTTGACATAATTTGACATCGTCTAAGTCGATACATCACTGTATTCCTCAGCAATCCGCGGAGCTGGTGATGCCCGCTGCAAATCGCCATTGCCCCACCATGACGCACGACTCTCCGCATGATGGCAGGAGCCAGTGGCGACGGAGGGCGCGCTTTGCCCTGCAAGGTCTACTGCTGACGGCGAGGACTGCACCGCCCCTCGTCTGAAGGCCACGGCAAGTTCCCTGAGCCACGCGCCCCTGCAGAGGGAGTCTGACGAAGATGAGCCCAGGTCGGACCGCAGCCTCGGCCCAAGGCGCTCGAAGGCATCGAGGTGTGCGTCGGGGAATGCAGTCCCCACGACCTCCACGTGCGCCTCGGCTTCAGTCGGGGCTTGTGTCTGTGGCCTGCTCGCACGGTCTTTCGATTTCTCTTCAGATCCCGTGGGACGTCTCAGCCGAACAAGCCTCAGGCCAAACCTGCTGCCGTTTCTCAGCGCTGCTTGGTTGCAAAGCGGCCAGCGGCAGGGC